ACTCACGTAAAATGAGTTCTCATTAAACTTCATTTTTACTTATACAACCATGTCTTCCAATAAGTATATGTTCTATACCTTCTCAGAGTATACTCTCTGTTCTGTGTTGTATGTAGAATATACAATGGGAATAATTGTGCTCAATTACTATTCTGTCCAAAGCTGTAGTTTTCTGTCCAACGCTGTAGTTTACCATGTCTAGAGTGATAGTCTATAATACATGCATAGGACAATGACTAACATATTCTTACAATATCTTCTTTGAAGGGGAATATTTTGATTAATTTATGATGTGGTAGTAATAAATACTTAAAATAACACATGAACACACTAATATAAGCACTGATTTCATTATTTTATTTTATTTATTTATTTATTTAAAGACAGAGTCTCACTCTGTCACCCAGACTGGAGTGCACTGGCATCATCATGGCTTGCTGCAACCTCAACCTCTTGGGCTCAGGTGATCTTCCCATCGAAGCCTCACAGGTAGCTTAGACTACAAGTGTGTGCCACCATGCCCAGCTAATTTGTTGTGATTTTTGTAGGGTTTTGCCATGTTGCCCAGGCTGATCTCAAACTCCTGGACTCGAGAGATCCACCTGCCTTGGCCTCCCAACGTGCTGGGATTACAGCTGTGAGCCATGATGCCTGGCTTTTGTTTCTTATTCATAATATCTAAGAATTCTAACTTGCTGTCAATGGTTATTGCTTTATGAAATCTCAGTAACAAGAAGCAAAGAAAATGAGTTTGGTAAATGAGAATTCTCAATACATTACCAACTTTTCTGCTCATAAGTCCTCTTGTTTGAACAAACGGGAAGCATTATCATGAAAGTCTCTTCTGATGATAATTCCACTGTCATTCTAACATCTATCAATGATTGAAATAAAGTATAAAAAATGAGAGTAACCGATGACTAATAAGATAGTAGAAGACCCTTAAAATATTTTTATTCCTGTAGTACAGGTGGTTGACAATGGGGGTCTTAAAAAAATGATTCTACTAATTCTCAAGATTTCTAGAAATGCTTCTTAAGAAGTAACCTTTACGTTATATCCTTCAAATTAAAAGCAAAGTGCCTTAAGAACGAAGCAAAATCGTGTTCCATAGGAATAAGTTTCCTCCACTCACCTGTATGAATACAGGTATCAGAAAGATTAAAATTTGCTTCTTTCTGTCGTTGACACAACTACTCTGCTTATTCTTGCTTAGTTATTTCAGTACCCATGACAGTGTTCCAGCACATAGCTGAGTATGTGGGACAAATTAAGAACACAGAAATTACTATATTAATGAATGAATAAATGAATGAAAAGTTGAAGTGTAAGTTCCTAGGAAGAAAGGCAATAAGATAAATCCACTTTTTTTTCCCTCACATAGGCCTTGTTTGAAGACAATAATTACATGGCCCGAGGCCCTCTCTTTGACAATACTTCATTGTTACTTAAAGAGGTCTTACCTAGTATGTAAACTTCATTTGTCTGATCCATTTAACCTCATAATTTGGGAGATACAATGGTTCTCAGAATTGTAATATTTTGATGGCATGAAACAGTATTTGATACATCTGAAGGATTATAAGGCTAATGAGTAAGAATAACTCTATGCTCCACTTCAGGTGGTTTGTATGATATAGGAGTTAGCAATCTAGTTCTTGTCTTTTGTTTGAATAAGTTAACAAATATTCCTACAGTATCTACTGAGTACAAGGCCTGAGCCAGATGGACCCTGTTAAGGACTCCTGAACAAGCAGAACCAAAAGCATGATAGAAAAAAGGTAGAAATCTAAGAGCAATTGAGATGGTGACACAAGATCAATTGAAATATTCTTGGCCGGGTACGGTGGCTCAAGCCTGTAATCCCAGCACTTTGGCAGGCCGAGACGGGCGGATCCTGAGGTCAGGAGATCGAGACCATCCTAGCTAACACGGTGAAACCCCATCTCTACTAAAAAATACAAAAAAACTAGCCAGGCGAGGTGGCGGGCGCCTGTAGTCCCAGCTACTCGGGAGGCTGAGGCAGGAGAATGGCGTAAACCTGGGAGGCGGAGCTTGCCGTGAGCCGAGATCCGCCCACTGCACTCCAGCCTGGGAAACAGAGCGAGACTCCGTCTCAAAAAGAAATATTCTGCAAAGCTGAGAATGAAGTTAGACACTTTGACAAAATTAAGCAATATAACGTCACAAAATATTAGATTTGTTAATTATATATTTGTCTATTTTATGCTTAAGTGTATCTACACTAAATGTTAGATTAAATGCAACGTGGTGTTAGTATTAGACCGTAAAGTCATAGCTGAAAAACCAGTGAAAGCAAATAGAGTCTATAGTTTAGTTAATAATATTCTAGCAATATTAACTTTTCTTCGTTTTGAAAAATGGTTATAAAAGACGCTAACATTCGGGCAAACTGGATAAAGGTTACATGGGATCCCTTTTGGCTATTTTGTAACTTTTCTGTAAATTAAAAATTTCTTCAAAATAAAATTATTTAAAACTCTAATTAGAACAAGTCTATATTAAACTTTTTTCGTAACCCTCATTACTTTGTATTAAAATATTTTTAAAACCAAATTGTGAGTCATGTCAGTGGCTTATTTGGGACTTTATTCAAGACTCTTTAATGCCACTGACTTTAATGGTTTGCCCATATATCAAACTGAGCAACCCTGAGAAGACATCCTTTCCTCGTCATGGCAGAAGTACTAGTATTTTCCCACAACGACTTCTGCCTTAGGTCTGAATAGTGTCCTAAACATTTTGCCTCATGTTCATTTTAGCTGCACATTTTAAAGGGGACAGTTTCCAGTTACACAATGTTTCTTTTACTATCTGGTAATGAGATTTATCATAAATACTTCAGGCTCTGACCACATTTTGTCAGAGGTAAATATTATGCTTTCTTCTTTGTTTACAGTACACAATGATCCTCCTCATTTTGAGATATTTCTATATCAATCTCTTTTTTAGTTGCTGTGATCATTTCTCCATGTATATGTTACATGAAAGAAAAGTATTTGAGATTGTGTTCACTAACAAGAAATAGGCATTGGAAAATAAGTACATTGGGCTCAACACTATTCTGACACAATAGGAAGACCTAGTAAGATAGTAATCTTAATGGCAGCAAATGTTATTAACATTAAATTAAAAACATCTACACAGCAACAACCTAATGTTCTGATTAATGAGAGGTATGAACACTGATGGAAATCAGTATCTGTTGCTGGTGTTACTATTCAATGTTAATACACAGAGGGAAAATACAACTATTGCAGGTTAAATGATAACTACAGCTTTTCTGATTGGTGATTGTAAGCAGGAGGTCCAGTAGCAGCAAAGTAATCAAGACAGGGGTTTTCATATTATATCTTCCCAAATAATCACTGTCCTAAGTGAGGGGTGGAAGACACTGTCACATTGAGGTATTGTAGCAGGACGAACTGCAGGCAAAACTTCTCAGACACCAAGATGTAGAAGGAAGGGCTTTATTCAGCTGGGAGCATCAGCAAGCTACTGCCTTAAAATCCGAGCTCCCCAAGTGCACAATTTCTGTCCCTTTTAAGGGCTCACAACACTAAATATTTCATATGAAAGGGTTGTGATTGATTAAGCAATTTAGGGGATACTGACAGGGGTTTCATGCACTGGTAGAGAGAAACAGAACAGGGCAGGGAGTTTCACAGTGTTCTTCTATACAATGTCAGGAACATCAGTTTCTAAGTCATAAGTTGATTTTTAACTACTGGGTTTAGGCCAGGCAGACCCAGGCCTGGGGCTGGGCTGCCTGTCTTTGGTTTTACTTCATTGTTTGTTTTTTAAAACAGGTACTGAGTATAAAACAATACAAGAGGGTCTCTCTCTTTCCTCAGTATTAGTTTTCACGGTGCTATGAAGAACTGCGCAGACTGGGTAATGTATAAAGGAAAGAGGCTTAATTGACTCACAGTTCCATATGGCTAGGGAGGCCTTAGAAAACTTACAATCATGGGGGAAGGGGAAGCAGAAACAAGCACCTTTTTCCCATGGCAGCAGAAGAGAGAACAAAGGAGTGACTTCCAAACACTTATAAAACCATCAGCTCTTGTGTGAACTCCCTATCAGGAGAGCAGCATGGAAGAAACCGCCCCCCATGATCCAATCACTTCCCTACCTCCAAGGTGGAAGTTACAAATTAAGATGAGATTTGGGTGGGGACACAGAGCCATATCATATCAGGATGTGAAAGGATTCTAGGAATTACTCGTTTTGGTTGTTAAGAATTATACAGCTAGCAGCCTTGTGCAGGGCCGTTTACTTCAGCTGCATACGTTTTTTCGCTGCATGAGGGGCTGGGGAGAGCTACTTTCTTCCGGTCCTGAAAAATAATCAAGACAGTGAGGGGTTTTCACATCGTGTCTTAGTTCTCACAAAGGCACGCTTCAAATGACGGATAAAAACCCGTCTTCCCGACTCCAAGAAGCTTCTTTCTCTTACTGCACAGGAGTCCTCTTACAGAACTCAGATCCTGACATTATTTTCAATAAAATTTTGTGCCGCCGCAAGTTTTAAATTTATTGTCTCCTGGAAGCTTTGGCTGAAGACTACTCAGCTCGTCACTGAATGGCTTTTGGGGGTTCTTTTTCCTCAGCTGAGTTTCTGTGTCTTTTACGGGTTTGGTTTTATGGTCCGTTGAAGGTTTTTTCACGCTGAGGGTGAAGATTCTTAGTTTCTTCAATTAGCATAAAAGCGGCTCCAAGGCCGCTGGGTCTTCAGTTCCATTCTATTCAAAATGTTAATTCCTGAGGCACGCAACCTGCGCCCTACTGTCCTTTGTCCCACCGCTTCTCGAGATTATCTTCGTGTTTTAAGAGAGAACGCCTTCCCGCCACACCCATGGGCTGCACCGCACAGCGCATGCGGCTGTTCCCTCTGGAGAGCACCACAAAACGCATGCGACAGTCCGCCGGCGTGGGCGGAGGAGAAACGCGTCGGCGCCCGGCGGTGACGTCAAAAGGCCGCGCTGTACTTCGGCTTGTGCGGCTTGGGCAAGAAGGTTTCCTGGCCTGTTGCAGCCATGGTCCGTTGCAGTTGCGTGTTGTTCAGAAAGGTCCGTGCGGGTCCCCTCGACCTGATCCCCTTAGCGCTGACGGCTGTAGTTCTCCCTTGCTCACCTGCCTCTCCACTACTTTCTTTGTGGCGGCCTCTTGCTTGCTTGGTTTTCCCATAAACTTCTCCGCCCCTCCTGTAGTCGCGCTTTGCCAGTAAGCGGTGATAATGGTGTGTGTACCTGGCGTGGTTAGGACGGTTGTTTGGGGGCAGAGTTTGAAGTTCTTTAGAGACATCGTGTGCACGTGGCATGAGGAACTGGGATACCTGCCTGCTGTGGCCCAAATGTTGTGGTTTTTTCTTCCTTTAAGTAATGTCTACAGTGTGTTTTTATATATTTCTCCTTGAGTGCACTGTTTGTTTTTCTAATGGATTTTTATGAAGACACGAGAGCGTTTAATGGATGTGCCTTCTTGCAGAACATTTAGGTCGATTTTTGTGTAGTGTCGGTCTTAAGAATCGTTTCCGTAAAAATTTACAACAGCTTTGAATTAAAAAAAAACAAAAAACAAAACTTACCTACTAGTAATGTTTTGTGAAACGTTGCCTGCGTCATGTTTTGACCATTACTTTATTTCTAACGACCAGAGTAAAAATGCTCCTTTTAAAATAAGGCTCCTAAGCCCCTGAATCTGATTTATCTAGAGCAGGAAAAAAGTGTTATATATTTAGTGGAACTGTAGAAACTCTCCTCGAGTATATCAGAATGGTCAATATTTCAACTTTTTTGAAAAAAAAAAAAAATCCCAGATGTTTTTGGTAATTGCTCTCCTAAATGACTAGAGATGTGGATTATGAATTTAAGAAATTGCTCTGTAAGTTAACAGCCTAAGAAGTTAATACATAAGTGCTTTACCTACAAGAAATTCTTGAGTCAGTGAAGGAAGCAGGTAAACACTAAATGCAGCGTAAGATTTATAAAGGTGTAAGATAGAGATTTAATCAAATTGCTGGGAGAGCCAGCAAAGTCAGAGAATTGATTAGAGGAATTTAGAAAGACATTAGTAAATATGACATTTAGGTGGATTTATGATAGGAAAAAGAAATGACATTCTAAGTAGAGGGAAAGCGTGAGCAGAATGGCATGTAGAAATGGCAGTATTTCATGTAGTACAGAGCAAAGAGGAAGAGGGAAGGGTTGAGCAAAAGAAAAGGATACAGGAAGGAGCTAGGCATGGTAGGTAATCCTGCTGTTCTAGCTATTTGGGAGGCTGAGGTGGGAGGATCCCATAAGGCCAGGAGTTCAAGACCAGTCTGGGCAACATAGCAAGACCCCATCTTTAAAATAGTTGGGTTGGTGGTGTGGTACCTGTAGTCCCAGCCATTCCGGAGGCTGAAGTGGGAGAATTGCTTGAGCCCAGGAGTTTGAGGCTGCAGTGAGCTATGACAGTGCCACAGCACTCCAGCCCAAGCAACAGAACCAGATCCTGTTTCAAAAAAAAAGATAACCAGAAGGGTATTTTAGTAGCTTTGGATATACAGTTGACCCTTCAAGAACATGAGGGTTAGAGGTGCGCCCCCCCCCCAGCTGAAAATCTTCATATAACTTTCAACTCCCCCCAAAAACAACTACTACTAATCTTTTGGCTGGAAGCCTTACTGATAACATAAGCAGTCAGTTGACACATATAGATTATATGTATAGTATATACTGTATTGTTACAATAAATTAAGCTAGAGAAAAGAAACTGTTACTAAGAAAGTCATAAGGAAGGGAAAATATATTTACTGTTCATTAAGTGGAAGTGAATTGTAAAGGTCTTCATCCTTATAGTCTTCATGTTCAGTAGACTGAGGAGGAAGAGGGGGAGTTAGTCTTGCTATATTGGGTGGCAGAGGCAGAAGACGTGGAGGTGGAGGAGGTGAAAGGGGAGGCAAGAGAGGCAGACACACTATGTGTAACTTTATGGAAGTACATCGCAATTTCTGTCATGCTTTTGCTTTTCTCTTTCCCCCCCAAAAATGTTTCTGTAGGGTACCAGTACCTCTTCCACCATTTGCTTTAGTTTCAGTGCCTGTTTCACAGAAGGATCCACGTCATGAAAGAAGTCAAAAGCAGTCCTGAATAATAGGAGCCCTCCTGCCAGATTGTCTAATGTTAGTTTTTCTGATAGTTTATTCTGTGTTTTCTTCCTTGTTATCTGGTACTGGATCTGAAGCACTCATCAAGCTGTCTTCTTTTAATTCCTCTGGTTTGTTATCTCTTAGCTCTTGAGTTTCCTCAAGATCCATGTCGTGAAGTCCTTTACCCACTCTCCTGCCGTTTTTGGCATATCCACAGTCTCTTTCATGATTTCCTTAATTGACTCTGTTGTAAATCCTGTGACGTTACAACACAACACCTAGACGAAGTTTTCCCCAGCACGAACTTACTGTTTTGGGCTTATGGCTTTCATGACTTTTTCAATAACAATGACATTTTCAATGATGTAATACTTCCAGACTTTCCTGAAGTTTTCTCTGTCGATGTTCTTTTCCATAGCTGACAATCCTTTCCGTAGAATATCATGTTTAACGAGCCTTAAAGGTCCTTGCGACCCCCTGATCTAGAGGCTGATTTAGAGACGTTGTGTTTGGGGGCAAGGACACCACTTCGGTGCCTTTGGTGTTGAACTCATGGGGTTCTGGGTAGCAGGGAGGGGAGGCACTGAGAACTTTGTAAGTCAGTCTCGTATTGGGAAGGTACTTCCTGACTTCAGGGAGAAAGCATCCATGGAACCAATCCAGAGAAAAGGTTTTTTGTTCTCTAGGCCTTCTTGTCCAACAAAGACTGGCAACTGATGTTTATCTTTCCCTTTCGAGATTGAGGGGTTAGCAGCTTCATAGATAAGGACAGTCCTGATTATAAACACAACTGCATTTGCACAATACAATAGGGTTAGCCTATCCCTTCCTGGGTTAAATCCTGGTGCTCACTGCTCTTCCTTACTAATGTCTTTTGTAGCATGTTTTCCAGAATAGGGTACTTTTGTCAGCATTAACAACCTGATTTGGGAGATACTCTTTCTCAGTGATTTTCTCAATGGCGTCTGGGAACTCATCTGCTGCCTGTTGGTTGGCAGAACCTGCTTCTCCTGTTATCTTGATATTTCTAAAGCCAAAGCCAAACCGATTTCTTCTTTTTTTTTTTAAATTATACTTCAAGTTCTAGGGTACATGTACACAACGTGCAGGTTTGTTATATAGGTATACATGTGCCATGTTGGTTTGCTGCTCCCATTAACTTGTCATTTACATTGGGTATTTCTCCTAATGCTATCTCTCCCACAGCCCCCCACCCCATGACAGGCCCTGGTGGGTGATGTTCCCCTCCCTGTGTCCAAGCGTTCTCATTGTTCAGTTCCCACCTATGAGTGAGAACATGTGGTGTTTGGTTTCTGTCCTTGTGTTAGTTTGCTCAGAATGATGGTTTCCAGCTGCATCCATGTCCCTGCAAAGGACATGAACTCATCCTTCTTTATGGCCACATAGTATTCCATGGTGTATATGTGCCACATTTTCTTAATCCAGTCTGTCGTTGATGGATTGGTTCCAAGTCTTTGCTATCATGAGTAGTGTCACAATAAACATACATGTGCTTGTGTCTTTATAATGGCATGATTTATAATCCTTTGGGTATATACCCAGTAATGAGATTGCTGGGTCAAATGGTGTTTCTAGTTCTAGATCCTTGAGTAATTCCCACACTGTCTTCCACAGTCAAACATCTTTCGAAAATTATCAAATCATCCTTTGCTGGCAATTATTTAGCTTTAGATCCTTCACATTCCTTTTGCTTTTAAATTGTCATATAGTAACTTTACTTTTTCTTGAATTGTATTAGTCTATGTTTTTAAAATAGCAATCCTACATCTGCATAAAAGTTGCATATTCAATACAAGATAAAAAGTTAATTTACAAAAAGTGCAAGGTTTTCACACCTCTCGGCACAGCTGCAGCAGTGGGTTATGAAGTTTTTTCTTTTTTACATTGATTTTTATTCTGGATTCATTTATCTTGAAATAGCAGGCCATCGCAGCTACAGATTTTAATCTGTGGTACGTATCAAGCAATTCGTCTTGTTATTGTAATGTCATGACTTGACTTCTTGGGAGCACTTCCAGCATCACTAGTGGCACTTTGTATGGGTTCCATGGTGTTGTTCGAGGTTTACAGTGTAACACTGAACAGGATGAAAAATGCAAGAGAACTGTGAGAGATCACTTTTTACTGACTTACAAAATTTACTGGCAAGATGAACTGCCCATGGAGAGATGAGTAGTATCACATGGCCTTTTTGGTGGCAATTTGGGACCCTTGAGCTCACTGAGATAGCTACAGGAGGTAACTACGAAATTATTACAGTATTCTAGGATGTACTACAGTTAATTTTATGCAGTTATGATTTAATACTGCATTTTTACATTTGCTGACATTTCTCTTGACTGCAAATGCTGCCATGTAAGGTCTGCAAGTGTGTGTGTAAGTTGTGATAAATTTTAATTTTTTTTTTTTTTTTCAGACGGAGTCTCGCTCTGTCGCCCAGGCTGGAGCACAGTGGCCGGATCTCAGCTCACTGCAAGCTCCACCTCCCAGGTTTACGCCATTCTCCTGCCTCAGCCTCCCGAGTAACTGAGACTACAGGCGCCCGCCACCTCGCCCGGCTAGTTTTTTGTATTTTTTAGTAGAGATGGGGTTTCACCGTGTTAACCAGGATGGTCTCGATCTCCTGACCTCGTGATCTGCCCGTCTCGGCCTCCCAAAGTGCTGGGATTACAGGCTTGAGCCACCGCGCCCGGCCAATTTTTTGTATTTTTAGTAGAGACGGGGTTTCACCGTGTTAGCCAGGATGGTCTCGATCTCCTGACCTCGTGATCTGCCCGTCTCGGCCTCCCAAAGTGCTGGGATTACAGGCTTGAGCCACCGCGCCCGGCCAATTTTAACTTTTTATAATAGATGTGTGGCCAGGTGCAGTAGCTCATGCCTATAATTTCAACACTTTGGGAGGCCAAGGCAAGAGGATTGTTTGTGGCCAGGAGTTTGAGACCAGCCTGGGCAACACAGCAAGACCCCATCTCTCGTTTTTTTAAAAATTAAAATAGATATGTGTATATTTTATGGAAGTAAATGACAAAATAGATTAGTATCTGTGTATATTTTTTGCACTCATGACACAACTTTTCTTAACTTTTTTCAGGATTTCCCATCTATGTGGTTTGCAAGTTTTTTCAAATTGTTGCAAAGCTCAAAATTTTCTAATGTATTTATTGAAAAAAATCTGTGTATAAGTGGACACACACAGTTCAAACCAGTGTTGTTCAAGGGTCAACTATAGTACTAAGAATTTTTTGCTTTATTTTGTAAGCATTTTTTTAAATGTATGGTTTTTGAGTAAAGGAGAAACGTGATTAGAGATCAGATCAATTTCAGAAAAATACTTCGGGCAACAAATTGGAGAATGCAATAAGGAAAAAATGATGAGACACTGAAAGGAGCTCATGTGGTGCAGGTACTAGGGCAGTGGTACTGGGGAGAAGAGAGTAGGGCTTTGGGACAAGAAACAGGTGTATTCTGAAAGACTTCCATTTGTGTAGTCTCAATAGATAAACCATAGTTCCATTATTTGAGAGAACATTGGAGGAACAGATTTTACCTGGCGAAGAGTTTGGTGTTGTTATGTTAACATTTATTTTTGAGGTGGCTATTATTTATTCAACTGATGTGTAAGAACAAGTTACATATTAGGGGATTTCACATATAAATTAGATACACATTCTGCTCACATTGCTTTATCCTATTAAAAGATTTCATCCTGATGGAAATGTCTGGCAGATTGGACATAGAAAATATCTCACCTAGGTGATGGTTATTGGTACAAGCAGAAATTACCCAGGGGAGAAAGTGTAGAATGAAAACAGGACCAAGTCAGAAACCCTCAGGATGGGTGGGACAATAGTTGATAACTGAAAAAACTAAAAGGGACTTAAGAGAAATAATCAAATGGGAAAGGGGGTCAGATCAGAGATGTGGAGGTGAGCTAAGAAGATGTTACAGAATTGGCATATAAAAAGCTATTAACGATTTTTTAATAAGAAGTTTTGGTGGAAGAAAGAACTAGAAAGCAATTCCAAGTTGATACGCTTGGTATACAAATGTTTTTTCTCTTTTTTTTTAAGTATGGAAATTTCATTGATAACCTAAGACTCTTCACCAAGGGAGGATCCGGTGGAATGGGTTATCCTCGTTTAGGTGGAGAAGGTGGAAAAGGTGGTGACGTCTGGGTTGTAGCCCGGAACAGAATGACTTTAAAACAACTTAAAGACAAGTATCGTCAGAAACGGTTTGTGGCTGGAGTAGGAGCAAACAGCAAGTAAGTAATTACTGAGTGACTTAAAATTTAGAAAATCAAACCCTTCTGGAAATTTTTTTTTAAGTTATAAAATAAAAACTTAATTGTTCATTTGAAGTAAATTGTTTCCTGTATTTATAACTGAGCAAAAGCCTAAAATGTCTCAACTCATAAAAGACTGATACTAAAGAATATTTCAGAGTTTTAAAACTTTTTGTCCGTTTCTTTTCCCAATGTCTATCTGTATTCTTTTTGCACTTTCCCTGTTGAAACCGAAAATTATCTGAATTCCCACTGTTTTTTTCTAAAATTATCTTTGACAACCTTTAAGAAAACTTTCTCAGTCTTAACCATGCTACTCCACCCCACTACCATTAGAAGGCAAGATAGCCACTGTTAACCTTTTCTTGACTTTTCTAAGACTTTCTGTGTGTTTACACAAATGCAATTATGTGCATAAAATTTTAGAATACAAAAATGAGAGTACAATATTTTACAATCTGCTATTTTTACTTTTTTTCCCATGTCAAAATTATTCAGAATACCTGCGTAATAACTAACAATTTATTTTGTCATTTGTCTATTTAGGTTATTGTTGATTTTTTTTTTTTTTCCAATTATACCTATAGTACAGCATCCTGTGTAGATACTATTTTACATGTTTGTTCAATTATTATTTTGATAAATTCCCAGAAGTAGAATTGCTAAAACGTTTGTACTAATTTTTTCTTTTATGAGCAGTTTAAGAGTAGCTAGATTTGCCTTCTTTAATGTAAGTACTTTCCTTCGAGGTTAGTTTTTTAGAAGCTTTGCTATTTGGTGGATTTTTTGTTTTTTTATAGATTCATTTTTTCTTTTTTTTTTTTTTTGAGACAGAGTCTCATTCTGTTGCCTAGGCTGAGTGTAGTAGGCACTATCACAGCTCACTGCAGCCTCTACCTTTCAGGCTCAAGTGATCCTCCCACCTCTGCCTCCCAAGTAGCTGAGACTACAGGTGTGTGCTACCATGCCCAACTAATTTTTAAATTTTCTTTTTTTTTTTTTTTTTAAATAGAAATGGGGTTGTGCTTGGTGTTCAGGCTGGTTTTGACCTCCTGGACTCGAGATCCTCCTGCCTCAGCCTCCCAAAGTGCTGAGATTATAGGCGTGAGCCACCATGCCTGGCTTTTTCTACCTTATTTGTATTGTAGCAATAATCTCTTCATTTCATGGTTGCAATATTTTAGTTTCAGGTTAAAATGACCTTTGGTGGTTAGCTTAGTGACTTAAATCATTACCCAGTGCCATTTTAGTGGGATATAATGTCTAAAATGCAAAGAAATAATTAGGGATAATTTTAGTTTTTTTAAACCTTGTGTTTGACCATTTAACATCTGCATTAACCAGAGAATTGATTGCTACTGTTCTTTGTAACCATTTTGTGTGTGTGTGTGTGTACATACACAAGCATACATATATATATGTATACTTTTTTTTGGTAGAGTTAGTGCACTGAAAGGCTCCAAAGGAGAAGACTGTGAAATCCCTGTGCCTGTGGGTATTTCAGTAACTGATGAAAACGGTAAAATTATAGGTGAGTGTATTATAACTTCGAAGGTTGTAAAAATGTGCACATTTTCTAAAATTAAACAATGGAATAGCTTCTCTTGAGTTTCAGAAGTTTTTTAACTAACAATTTTAGTTACTACTCTATAAGAGAGCATTTTTAAAACTTACAAAAGTTAAAATGACTACTAGATTTAAGATTGTTTTAAAGATGTTAGAGTTCTTGCTTGGTCTTAAAACAATATATAACTAGGCTCTTTTCAATTGCTTACTGAAGTGTTTTTCTGGGGTCAAACTTTCAATAGATTTGTAAAATTGGAATTTCCTGGACTGTTTTTCTGAAAGAACAACATTCCCTTAATGATTCTACTTATTATAGGTTTGTAATTGAGAATTTCCTAGCATGTATTTTTGAAAGTAAAATATAACATTAGTGATTCCACTTACTAATCTATAGATTTGTAATTTTGAATTTCCTTGCCTGTATTTCTGAAAGAAATAGATTGCATTAGTGATTTCACTTATTGATCTTTAATGTAAATATTTCTCTCTCTCTTTTTAAGGAGAACTCAATAAGGAGAATGACAGAATTTTGGTAGCTGAAGGAGGTCTTGGTGGTAAATTACTTACAAATTTTTTACCATTGAAAGGCCAGAGACGAATAATTCACCTTGATCTAAAAGTTATAGCTGATGTAGGCCTAGTAGGGTAAGTATCATTCATTTTTTATTATTATACTTTCAGAGAGATAGTTCTTAAATAGGAAATAAACATAAATGGTAATTTGGGGCCATAATTATTTCAAATTTATGGGATTTGATTGTTGTGTATGTACTAGAAAAATATGCTGCTAAATACTGTTTTCAAATTACCAACATAGAGTTTCATAGTTATTGCTTATTTGTAAAATTAAGACCAGAGCAATTGAATAGATCAGTGGGAATGTTAGAGAATGCATAAAGAAAAATCAATCAAATGCAATAGTATAAGAAGGTTAAATAATGTTACCGGATATTAAAGAATAATAAATCCAAACAAACCATATTATTATTAAAAGTATATAGAAGGAAATAAAAAGGGAAAATGATTGACATAACTCTTTTGGGTCTTTTTTTTTTTTTTTTTTTTTTTGAGACGGAGTCTCGCTCTGTCACCCAGGCTAGAGTGCAGTGGCGTGATATCGGCTCACTGCAAGCTTGGCCTCCTGGGTTCACGCCATTCTCCTGCCTCAGCCTTCGGAGTAGCTGGGACTACAGGCACCCGCCACCATGCCCAGCTATTTTTTTTTTTTTTTTTATTTTTAGTAGAGACGCGGTTTCACCATGTTGGCCAGGATGGTCTCGATCTCCTGACCTCGTGATCCGCCTGCCTCGGCCTCCCAAAGTGCTGGGATTACAGGCGTGAGCCACCGCGCCCGGCCTCTTTTGGGTCTTAATAGAGACATTAAAGTATCATTAGTCAAATGGCTAAAGACCAATACAGACAATCTCAATCCTCAGACTTATGCACTGTTGCTGCCAAATTGAATCCTGCTATGACTGTTTGTATATCCTTCTTGCCTCTGCTTAGGATCTATCTAGTCCCAGTACTATAGACCTCAGAAGAGTGTCCTCTTCCACCAGCCTCCATTCTTTCATTAAATAATGCTGTTTAGCTGTGGAGTTGCAGTGTGGCTACTACAGTGGAAGGGGATAGATAGCAGAATACAGAATACATAAAGGGGCCGGGTGCGGTGGCTCACTCCTGTAATCCCAGCACTTTGGGATGCCAAGGTGGGCAGATCACGAGGTCAGGAGATCAAGACCATCCTGGCTAACCCAGTGAAATCCCGTCTCTAGCTGGGCGTGGTGGCGGGCGCCTGTAGTCCCAGCTACTCAGGAGGCTGAGGCAGGAGAGTGGCGTGAACCCGGGAGGCAGAACTTGCAGTGAGCCGAGATTGTGCCACTGCACTCCAGCCTGGGCGACAGAGCGAGACTCCGTCTCAGAAAAAACAAAAAAACAAAAAAACAAAAAACGAAGAGAAAAACTTAAATTTGCATTTGTTCTCTCTCCCCCATCCCCCCTCCCTCCTGCCCTCTCCCTCCGGCCCTATCACAGTATTACACAGTTACTCAGGTGGAAAGTTTAAGAGCAAGATAAGGAAAACTGCCTTGTTACTGTCCTACTTCAAATTCCTAGTTCTATTTTTTGCTTCCCCGTAGCTTCTTTCTAAGTTCTTTTCATCTTCCTCTTCAGGCATCTTACTGCTTCTTTACCAGACTCTTTAAGTCTGAATCCCTCGCCTTTTGCCCTGCCTGACCAGCCACTAGAGCTTACCACCATTGGTTTAGGGTTCACAGAGGCCCCATTCCTGCTAAAATTATAACAAGAAAGATGTGATCCTGGCTTTCCATTCACATTTATTTTTTTTCAGTAAAGCACAGTTATGAGAGTTATTAGATATAAGTTCTGTAATCCTCTATATTTTCAGGAACGTTATGGGCTTAATAGGGTTTTGTGGGCAAGCCTGGCAGTCCAGCGAATCACAGTTGCATTTGGCATGAAAATGGGTTTCAAGTTCTGAAGAGAAAACTTTACAGTCTAAGAAGAGCCTAGCACGGCTTAGTCATAAAAGTGGAGTGGCATGGAGGACTCAGCTTAGACTATTTAGGTTAGGATCTCAAATCCTCTGGAGGCTGGCCAGCTGGTCTTGGGTAAATTATACAGCCTCTCTAAACCTTTGTTTTCTCTTCTTTTTTTCCTTTTCTTTTCTCTCGTTCTTCCTTCACTGTAGTTTTTTTTTTTTTCTTTTTTCCACCACGTCATTTGTTTTCTCATCTTTAATAGTGTATCGAGATAGGTCTTTTCTTAAAACGTTGGTGGGTAAGATAATACATTTACAGCAGAAGACATGGTTTGCATTTTTGTACGTTCAATGAATTGTAGCTGCTGTCTTCATCATAATTATATTGCCAACTTACTGGAATACTGCATATAGTGATATACAAAGCTTTTCAGAAGTAGGTTTGAAATTTGTCAGTAATTAAAGCATCAGGATTCTTAAGCATATGAAAAGAGAATGGGGGGAAAAGATTTTTAAATGGAATGTTTAACATGTTTTCTAGTGTTTTTAAATTAGGCAACTATTCTTGAAGAGTTACTACTATGAATACTGGCATAAGTAGATATCCTTTTAGCTGGTTTTGGAAATGGACTGAATGAATCATAGAAGAAAGTTATTGTACAGCTAACAGATTTGTGCTGCTGTTGTCAAATCTGATCTTTGCATAGGCTGGATTTTAGCCTCTAAAATTTTCACTGGGTATTTTTCAAGAAAAATTTCAAATATCTGTTCTTCAATCATTAGCATCATCTTTCTATTCATACTTTGATCTTCTTGGAAATAGTTGCTTGCATGATGTGTTCAATCATTATGAAAATATGAGGATGTTGGAAACCAGCAAGTCCAGCTAGTAATAATTATGGATAAAAATGGCTGCAATTTGCTTTTCAAAAGCTCTAAGAACCTGGATAAAACAGGGTATTAAAAAAACATATGTTCCAAGAGAAGTCATTAAGAAACCTCACATACTTTTATTTTAAATTCATTACAGAAAGATTTTTTTTAAATGAGGGAAATTGTTGAAATACCTCCAGCTTATAAGTTTTTATAGAATTCTCAATTAATATTTGCAGAATATTCCACCATTATTCCAAGTGAAAGTTTGGCAGAGTTTTTGAAATACCTTCTTCAAATTTGAATTAAGAACTCTGTGAAGGCGGGAATCATTTTGTCTCATTGCTTAGTATGTTGCCTGATACAAAGTCAGTGCTCAATAAATATTTGTTGGATAAATTTAATGAAAATATATGAATGAGATTTAGGAATGAATGTTTTAATTAACCCCCATTCCTAGTACTGTCTTTCATACATGGTGGGCCTTTCTTGAGGGAAATTTAGCAGTATAATCAAAAGCCTTTAAAATGAGCTTGTATTTTATCCAGTATTTCTTCATGTAGACATTTATTCCAAGAAAGAAGTCAAAGATGTGTGCAAAGAGAAGTCCTAGCCAGAAAAATCAGGCAAGAGAAAAAAAGGGCATTCAAATAGGAAAGAAGGAAGTCAAACTATCTGTTTGCCAACCATATGATCTTATACCTTGAAAACCCTAGAGACTCCTTCAAAAGACTCCTAGATTTGATAAATGAATTCAGTAAACTCTCAGGTTACCAAATCAGTATACACAAATCAATAGCACTGCTATACACCATCAACAACCAAGCTGAGAATTAAATCAAGAACTCAATCCCTTTTACAACAGCTACAAAAAATAAAATACCTAAGAATATACCTAACCAAGGTCGTGAAAGATCTCTACAAGGAGAACTGCAGACATTGCTGAAAGAAATCGTAGATGACGCAGACAAATGGAAATACATCCCATGTTCATGGATTGGAAGAATCAGTACTGTGAAAATGACCATACTGCCCAGAGAATCTACAGATTCAATGCAATTTCTGTTAAAATACCAGTATTATTTTTCACAGTATTAGAAAAAACCCTAAAATTCATATGGAATCAAAAAAGCCCAAATAGCCAAAGCAATCCTCAGCAAAATGAACAAATCTAGAGGAATCATATTACCTGACTTCAAATTATATTACAACGTTATAGTAACCAAAACAGCATGGTATTAGTATAGAATTAGGTACATAGACCAATGGAAGAGAATAGAGAACCCAGAAATAAAGCCAAATACTTAAGACCAACTGATCGTTAACAAAGCACACAAAAACAAACTGGGGAAAGGATACCCTATTCAAAAAATGATGCTGGGAAAATTGGATATCCAAATGTAGAATAATGAAACTGGATTCATATCTCTCATTATATGCAAAAATTAACTCAAGATAGATTAGGTTTTAGTCTAAGACCTGAAACTATAAAAATTCTAGAAACGTAGGAAAAACCCTTCTCACATTGGCCTAGACAAAGAATTTGTGACTAAGTTCTCAAACCAAATGCAACATAAATAAATAAATGGGACCTAATTAAAGTAAAAATCCTCTGCACAGCAAAAGAAAGAATCAACAGAATAAACAGCCTACAGAATGGGAGAAAGTATTTGCAAACTATGCATCTAACAGAGGACTAATATACAGAGTCTACAAGGAACTTAAATCAGCAAGGAAAAAACAATTCCATTAAAAAGTGGACGAATGACATGGGCATTTCTCAAAAGAAGATAGGCATACAAATGGCCAAGAAGCATATAAGAAAATGTTCAGCATCACTAATACTCAGGGAAATACATACTAAAACTACAGTGATTTACCAGCTTAGCCAGAATGGTCATTATGGAAAAGTCAAAAAACAATAGGTGTTGACATAGATGTGGTGAAAAGAGAACTCTTATACCTTTTTTTAAAAAATTTTTTTTTTTATTACACTTTAAGTTCTAGGGTATGCACAACATGCAGGTTTGTTGCATAGGTATACATGTGCCATGTTGGTTTGCTGCACCCATCAACTTGTCATTTACATTATGTATTTCTCCTAATGCTATCCCTCCCCCAGACCCCCACACCCTCACAGGCCCCGTTGTATGGTGTTCCCCACCCTCTGTCTATATGTTCATTGTTCAGCTCCCACTTATGAGTGAGAACATGCAATGTTGATTTTCTATCCTTGTGGTAGTTTACTGAGAATGATGGTTTCCAGCTGCAT